GTTTGAAAACTTTTCACACTTAAGCTTGAAAATAGGCCTCGGCAGGCCGAAATCGTGTAACAATCACGAGAAGGCCCGGGGACACCTCAAACATCTCACGAGGGACCTATTTGAGTTGTGAAAACTTAACGAACAGGTACGGGACTCCCGGTTTGAAAACTAAGTCGAAAAATACAATTTTTCTAACACTTAAGCTTGAAAGTAGGCTATCGGAGGCCAAAATCATGTAACAGTCGTAAGAAGGGCCGGGAAAACCTCAAACACCTCAGGAGTGACCAGCGTGAGTTGTGAAAATTACGGAACTAGCACGGGACTTCCGGTTTAAAAACTAAGTTGGAAAAAGACACTTTCTTCACACTTAAGCTTGGAAATAGGACATCGGGGGGCCAAAACCGTGTAACAGTCACGAGAATGACCGGGAGATGCCCCAAACACCTCGGGAGGGTCCAAGGTAAGTTGTGGAGACTTACGGAACTAGCACGAGACTCTCGGTTTGGGAACTAAATCGAAAAATGCACTTTTTTCACACTTAAGCTCGAAAATAAGCCGTCGAGGGCCCAAATCGTGTAACAGTCACGAGAAGGCCCGGGGAACACATCAAACACCTCGGAAGGGACCAATGTAAGCTGTCAGAACTTACGGAATTAGCACGGGACTCCCGGTTTGAAAACTAAGTCCGAACGGCACTTTTCTCGCACTTAAGCTTGAAAATAGTCCATCGGGGGGCCAAAATCGTTTAACAGTCAAGGGAAGGTCCGGGAACACCTCAAACACCTAAGGAGGGACTAACGTGAGTTGTGGAAACTTACAAAACTTGCATGGGATTCCCGGTTTGAAAACTAAGTCAAAAAATGCACTTCCTAAACACCTAAGCTTGGAAATAGGCCACTGGGCGCCAAAAATCCAGTAAAAGTCCCGAGACGGACCGTGGAACACCCCCAACACCTTAGAAGAAACCAATGCAAGTTGTCGAAACTTACGAAACTAGCGCAGGACTTGCGGTTTGAAAACTAGGTTGAAAAAGGCAATTTTTTCACACTTAAGCTTGAAAATAGGCCTCGGCGGGCCGAAATAATGTAACAATCACGAGAAGGCCGGAGGAACACCTCAAACATCTCAGGAGGGAACAATTTGAGTTGTGAAACTTAACGAACAGGCACGGGACTCCCGGTTTGAAAACTAGGTCGAAAAATACACTTTTCTGACACTTAAGCTTGAAAGTAGGCCATCGGGGGCCAAAATCAGTAACAGTCGCAAGAAGGGCCGGGAATACATCAAACACCTCTGGAGTGACCAACGTGAGTTGTGAAACTTACGGAACTAGCACGAGACTCCCGGTTTGAAAACTAAGTTGGAAAAAGACACTTTCTTCACACTTAAGTTTGGAAATAGGACATCGGGGGGCCAAAAACGTGTAACAGTCACGAGAAAGAACGAGACATGCCCCAAACACCTCGGGAGGGTCCAAGGTAATTTGTGGAGACTTACAGAACTAGCACGGGACTCTCGGTTTGGGAACTAAATCGAAAAATACACTTTTTTTCACACTTAAGCTCGAAAATAAGCCGTAAGGGGCCAAAATCGTGTAACAGTCACAAGAAGGCCCGGAAAACACATCAAGCACCTCGGGAAGGACCAATGTAAGCTGTGAGAACTTACGGAACTAGCACAGGACTCCCGGTTTGAAAACTAAGTCCAAAACGACACTTTTCTCGCACTCAAGCTTGAAAATAGTCCATCAGGGGGCCAAAATCGTGTAACAGTCAAGAGAAGGTCCGGGGAACAACTCAAACACCTAGGGAGGGACCAACGTGAGTTGTGGAAACTTACGGAACTTGCATGGGATTCCCGGTTTGAAAACTAAGTCAAAAAATGCACTTCCTAAACACCTAAGTTTGAAAATAGGCCATCGGGAGCCAAAAATCCTGTAACAGTCCTGAGAAAGCTCGTGGAACACATCCAACACCTCAGGAGAAACCAATGTAAGTTGTGGAAACTTACAGAACTAGCGTGGGACTTGCGATTTGAAAACTAGGTCGAAAAATGCACTTTTTTCACACTTAAGTTTAAAAATTGGCCTCAGCAGACTGAAATCTTGTAACAATCACGAGAAGGCCCGGGGAACACCTCAAACATATCAAGAGGGACCAATTTGAGTTGTGAAAACTTAACGAACAGGCACGGAACTCCCGATTTGAAAACTAGGTCGAAAAATACAATTTTCTAACACTTAAGCTTGAAAGTAGGCCATCGGGGGCCAAAATCATGTAACAGTCGCAAAAAAGGCCGGAAACACCTCAAACACCTCAAGAGTGACCAGCGTAAGTTGTGAAACTTACGGAACTAGCACGGGACTTCCGGTTTGAAAACTAAGTTGGAAAAAGACACTTTCTTCACACTTAAGATTGGAAATAGGACATCGGGGGACCAAAACTGTGTGACAGTCACGAGAAGGACCAGGAGATGCACCAACACCTCGGGAGGGTCCAAGGTAAGTTGTGGAGACTTACGGAACTAGCACGGGACTCTCGGTTTGGGAACTAAATCGAAAAATGCACTTTTTTCACACTTAAGCTCGAAAATAAGCCGTCGGGGGCCAAAATCATGTAACAGTTACGAGAAGGCCCAGTGAACACATCAAACACCTCGGGAGGTACACTGTGAAAACTTACGGAACTAGTACGGGACTCCCGGTTTGAAAACTAAGTCCGAAACGGTACTTTTCTCGCATTTAAGCTTGAAAATAGTCCATCGGTGGGCCAAAATTGTGTAACCGTCAAGAGAAGGTCCGCGGAACACCTCAAACACCTAGGGAGGGACCAACGTGAATTGTGGAAACTTACGGAACTTGCATGGGACTCCCGGTTTGAAAACGAAGTCAAAAAATACACTTCGTAAACACCTATGTTTCAAAATAGGCCATCGGGGCCAAAAATTCAGTAACAATCCCGAGAAGGCCCGTGGAACACCTCCAACAACTCGGGAGAAACCAATGTAAGTTATGGAAACTTACAGAACTAGCGCGGGACTTGCGGTTTGAAAACTAGGTCGAAAAAGGCACTTTTTTCACACTTAAGCTTGAAAATGGGCCTCGGCGGGCCGAAATCGTGTAACAATCACGAGAAGGCCCGAGGAACACCTCAAACGTCTCCGAACGGAGCAATTTGAGGTGTGAAAACTTAGCTAACAGGCACGAGACTCCCGGTTTGAAAACTAGGTTGAAAAATACACTTTTCTAACACTTAAGCTTTAAAGTAGGCCATCGGGGGCCAAAATCATGCAACAGTAGCAAGAAGGGCCGGAAAAACCTCAAACACCTCAGGAGTGACCAGCGTGAGTTGTGAAACTTACGGAGCTAGCACGGGACTTCTGGTTTGAAAACTAAGTTGGAAAAAGACACTTTCTTCACACTTAAGCTTGGAAATAGGACATCGGGCGGCCAAAACCGTGTAACCATCACAAGACGAACCGGGAGATGCCCCAAACACCTCGAGAGGGTCCAAGGTATGTTGTGGAGACTTACGGAACTAGTCTGGGACTCTTGGTTTGGGAACTAAATCGAAAAATGCACTCTTTTTCACACTTAAGCTCGAAAATAAGCCGTCGGAGACCAAAATCGTGTAACAGTCACGAGAAGGCCCGGAGAACACATCAAACACCTCGGGAGGGACCAATGTAAGCTATGAGAACTTACGGAACTAGCATGGGACTCCCGGTTTGAAAATTAAGTCCGAAACGGCACTTTTCTCGCACTTAAGCTTGAAAATAGTCTATCGGGGTGCCAAAATCGTGTAACAGCCAAAGGAAGGTCCGGGAAACACCTCAAACACCTAAGAAGGGACCAACGTGAGTTGTGGAAACTTACGAAACTTGCATAGGACTCCCAGTTTGAAAACTAAGCTATGAAGCACGGATACTCCAAAATAGGCCACGTATGCGTATCGGATACGTATCGGATACGGATACGCGCCCGATACGCGAGGATACGTATCGGATACGGGAAATAGAGTATCCGATTTTTTTTTTAATTTTTGAATTTCGGATACGTCTCGGATACGGGAGGATACGGTCAGGATACGGGCGTGATACGGTATGGATACGGCGGGGGCAAAAAAATAATTTAAAAAACTTAAAATGGGGCCAAAATGTAAAATATGAAAATTAAATCAAATAAAAAACAAAAACAAAAAAAATTATAATCTAACTTACCTTCTAGGTCGAATTCGAACAGCACCCGCGAAGGAGAGGAGGAGTCCACCGATCTGCCTCTCAGTCGATCTCGAACAGCAGCTCGACGGTCGTCCCTCTCTCTCGATCAGGTTCGTCGATCTCTCTCTCCCTTTCGCTCCCTCTGTTTGTTTGCTTGCATCGATCTCTGTCGATCTGTGTTTCGTCGATCTCTGTATACCATAATCTCGATCTGTTTCGTCCTCTCGATCGATCTGTTTTTTGGTCGATCTGTATCTCGTCGTCTCGTCTCTGTGTTTAATCGAGAGAGAGAGACCATTTTTTGTTTACCCCTGTTTCGTCGTGTCTGTGTTTACATATTTATTTATTTATTTTTTTTTTAATTTTTTTATGTGTAGTTAGTTACTCTGTAAATAAAATCAAATAAATGAAATAAATATATATCCCTCTAAAAAAAAATAAATGAAATAAATAAATAAATAAACTTATGAATTACTTATAAAACAAATAAATAAATAAACTTTAGGGTTAAAACAAATAAATAAATAAATTATTCAAATAAACACCTAAAGACATGTTAATTTAAATTATTCAAATTATGGGATTGAATTGCATTATTGTTGTTATGTTATGGGTGAGGGTGATGCTATATTGTTGAAATTTAATTGAATTCATGAATTTTTTGTTATGGGTGATGTATTATGGTTGTTATGGGTGATGTGTTACATTAATATTTTGTTTTATTTGTTTACCATAAATTTTAGGAAATGAGTTCGGGTACGGGAAGTTTAGGTTCAACAAGTGGTACACCAATGGAAGAAGATGATCATGCTCCTCTTTGGTGTTATGTTACAAAACTAGAAAAATTGGGAGGAGGTGGTAATACTAGGTTTAAATGCAATTACTGTCAACAAGAGTACAGGGGGTCATACTTTAGGGTCAAGGCACATTTGTTAAAACTTTCTGGCAATGGGATTAGAGTGTGCCCCAAAGTGACTCCGCAACACCTTGCTGAAATGCAAAAGAAAATTGAAGAAGCTGAGAAGAGGTTAAAGATGGCTATGCCTAAAAAAGTTCCTTTACCACCTTCCACCCAATCTACTTCAACAAGTTCAGGGGCTTTAGATATTGGAGGATTTAGGATGGAGGGGTATGAGCCAAGAAAAAGAAAGGCTACTGGAACTTCTGCTCTAGAAAAGGCATTCAACCCAGTTATTCGGGAACAACTACATTCTGAGATTGCTCGCATGTTTTACTCAGCGGGGTTACCTTTTCATTTATCAAGGAACCCATATTATGTTAGTGCATTTCAATTTGCTGCCAACAATCCAATTCCTGGTTATGTACCACCCGGTTATAACTTGCTGAGGACTACATTGCTTCAAAAGGAAAGGGCTAATGTAGAGAGGTTGTTGGAGCCAACTAGAGCATCATGGAAGGAAAAAGGGTTGAGTATTGTTTCAGATGGATGGACTGATTCTCAAAGAAGGCCCCTTATTAATTTTATGGGAGCATCAAAAGCTGGGGCAGTGTTCTTGAAAGCTGTTAATTGTGAAGGCGAGCATAAAGACAAGTTTTTTATTTCCAACTTAATTAGTCAAGCAATTGAAGAAGTTGGACATCAGAATGTCATTCAAGTCATTACAGATAATGCTCCCGTGTGTAGTGCAGCTGGTTTACTCATTGAAAGTAAGTACCCGAATATCTTTTGGACACCATGTGTAGTTCACACATTGAATCTTGCTCTTAAGAACATTTGTGCTCCAAAGGAAACAGGGGGTACTGCTTTTGCTTATGATGAATGTCACTGGATCACACTTTGTGTTGATGATGTGATGTTTATCAAAAACTTCATCATGAACCATTCCATGCGGCTAGCTATTTTCAATGAATTCGTACCCTTGAAGTTGCTTGCTGTTGCAGATACACGTTTCGCATCTGCCATTATCATGCTCAAAAGGTTTAAACTTATAAAGCGTGGCCTCCAATCAATGGTTATTAGTGACCAGTGGGTTTCTTACAAAGAAGAAGATGTTGGAAAAGTAGCATCTGTGAAGGAAAAATTATTGAATGATGTATGGTGGGATAAGATTGATTATATTTTGACTTTTACATTGCCTATCTATGAGATGCTTAGGTTTTGTGACACTGACAAACCATACCTTCACTTAGTCTATGAAATGTGGGACACCATGATTGAAAAGGTGAAGGCAAGCATCTTTAGGCATAAAGGGAAGCTAGATCATGAGGAATCAATCTTTTATTCCGTTGTGCACAATATACTAGTTGAGAGAGGTGGTCCAAAAGTAACACTCCTCTTCATTGCCTTGCACATTCTTTGAATCCAAGTTAATAGCTTAATTCATAACCTTACTAATTACATTTCTTTGTTGACATTTGTCTTTTAATATGAATAACATAATTTAATTTTAAAACTTTCTAATGTTGTAATCTAGGAATTATACAGAGTTTTGAACATAAATATAATTAAAATGACCCATTTTTATGATCTGGATATGGACGCACTGCCCTTGTTTGAGGTCGCGGAGGTTAGAGAAGGCCTCGAGAACGAAAGGGAAAGTGTAGTTGTTTGGAAGAATGGAGTTCTTGTGCATTTGGGTGTAGATAGAAATTGATTTGAGAGGGGATTGGGTGTGAGAAAAGGCTTTGATGAGGGTATTGCAAATGAAGACATTGGGTGTCTGGATTTGGGAATAGAGAAGATGGGCAGAGTCAGTGAGACCCAGAGATTGGCAAGCAGTGATGAAGTGGTAAGCAATGTCGGTGTCTGGGTAGAGGTTTTGGATGATGAGTTGAGCCTGGATTTGGTAGATTTGAGAGGGTGAATTGCATATTTCCAAGAGATTGATCAGTCTGTTCGCTGCTTGAGCATTAAAATTGCTTGGCCAGCCATGTTCCTCATCATGCTGTGAAAGGAATTGGAGCACCTACTTCTTTATTCACTCCATAAAAAGAAACAAAATGACACCACAATGTGCTGAAGATTTGGTTTTTGTGCACAACAATCTTCGTCTCCTATCAAGGAGAAGTCGACAGTACATTGAAGGAGAATCCAAGTTATGGGATGTTGGTGGAGATGCTTTTGATTCATTGGAGGGTGCAGGCTTACTTGAAATTGCAAGTCTTTCTCTTGATGAACCAGATATGGAAGCTGTGATATTTACTGAAGATGAAGGGGAACAAGTTGAACCTATTGATGTTGAAGACTCTTAGTTCATAGGAATCTCTCTTTTTTTATCAAGTTGTCTTTTGTTTTAAGTTTTATTTTTATGTATGCTACATTACTAAAAATGCTTGAAGTTTTATTTTATGTATGTTCTATTACTAAAAATTGTTGAAGTTTTATTTTTGTGTATTCTACATTACTAAAAATTGTGGAAAAAAATATTTTTTATGAACGTATCCCCGCCGTATCCGTATCCTACTTTTTCGAATTTTGCCGTATCGCCGTGTCCGTATCGTGTCGTATCCGTATCCCGTATCCGTATCCGTGCTTCCTAGATGACTCCTTAGAAAATCCTTAATAACACTCATCTTTCTCCGATAACCCAACCCCCTCACATTCCAACTAATAATCTTCATTGGGAAACACTTTCACCCCTAACCTCCTCTCGTAGTTAACTTTATTTTCAAATTCTTTTCCAAAACTCTCAAAACATAGAATTTAACTTCAAAACCTGATGAATTATGAATGTATGTATGATATAACTTCTAATTTCAAAATAGATAATATAAATCATGCTCAAAGTTATGAAATGCAAAATTATGCATGCATGTATGAATTGATCTCAATTTCAACAATCTTACCTCAATTCACACAATTAATCACATAATTTCTTGAATTCACTCATTAGATGACTTCAATTCATGAATTAGGAATTTAAACACATACCTAAAGTCTTCAAGAACACTAATTCTAGCAATTTCTTAAGTTGTCTTCCTCAATTCTTCAATTCTCAAGCAAAATTCCAAGCTTCCAAGCTCTTCTCTCTAAAATTGAGTTTCCTCTCTCTCTAAACTTAATTGTCGGCAGATTTTTGTATCTAAATGAGATTAATTAACATTTCTCATAGATTAGCTTAGGGCCTTAATTAGGGATCAAGTTAGTTAAATAGAGCTTATGGCTAATTAATCAAGGCTTAATTTAATTGATTTAATCTAATTAATTTAATCTGAATCAAATTTTAATCAAACTTCTCATTACGCTCTAAAAATTAAACCATACAATAAACTAGCCAATTTTGGTTTCTGACGTCATTAAGGCCTTCAATTTCAGATTATAACAGAAATCACAACAGATATTCCTACGGTTAACAGATATGAACCTAAAAATCATATTAAACACATAATAAGCATTCAAATTCATACAAAGCACTTAAATAACATTCAAAACCAATGATTAACAGGGTTGTCACAAGATCAATATTGCTTACCAACGACAAAATGTTTACTGGATTTTATAAATCAGAATGGGAAAAATGGATAATCAAATTAAGTCACACACAGCTCCATAAAAGACAACTTTGAGGGCAGAACTTAATTTATATGACAAAAAATACAACAATTATTTCGTTGTGGTGATAAAAATACATACACAAGAATAGTAAAGAGAATCAAATTCTACAGATATAAGTTGAGAATTCAAACAACTAAATTTGGCACAATTAATATGTATATATGCAAATATATAGCACATATTATGTATGTAAAATTACTAACCTTGTCAATTGTGGCGAAAATGGACATGTTCTCCCAATCCCTAGACCTGAGCCGTGACCTCCCAATCCCCAGCCGCCGAATCAGCGCAGACGACATCACTCACATGGTACAATGATGTTGGAACCAAGGTTTCATAAGGCTCATTAAGGGTGATGACAGCTGCATCAACTGCAGAACATCCTTAGGGAATGGAACCGCCCCAGCAGAAGATACTGTTTAAAAATCAAAATAGAAATAAAAACTCAAATCAATAAATCATGATCCCTTTAATTTAAGCTCACATTCCATCTGTGCACCAAGAACACCAAGAAAATGAAATGTAAAGTAGTTGCATTGGTCAAAGTTTCACGAAGCTCTTCATTTTCTCCAATTCAGATAATCAGAATTCTAAGAATAACAGGCCCCATTATCCCATCTTTTTCCTACATTTTCTCCAGTAACTTAAATGCAAAGGAATTCTATTTTCTCAACAACCAAATGAATCATGAAGAACAATTTTAAAGCTCTACTGAACTACTTCACTTTTCAATTTTTTGGTTTTGTTTTGTTTTTGTTTTTTGTTTTTTCTCCCAGCAACCAAACAGATCAAAGAAAAACAACTCCAGAAACTATTACATACAGTGACAGTCATACAAGGTCTTTATTTTCTCTAGTAACTGAAATACATAGGAATTCTATTTTCTCAACAACCAAATGGATCAAGAAGAACAATTCCAAAAAGCAACTAAACTACCACCCATTAAAACAACACAAAAAATCCCTCTTTTTCTTTGTAGTCCTCCATTTTCCCAGCAACCAAACAGATCAAACAAAAACAACTCCAGAAATTAAAACATACGGCAACAATCACAGTGATATAAACACAAGACCAAAGAAAACACAAAAAACAGATACAACAACATACACAAATATACATACATATATATATGAAGGGACTTAGAACCAAAACCTGATCAATTTGGTCCCACCATCTGAACTCAGCTTGAATCTTGTTCCGGAAAACATTGTACAGAAGGGTCGGGTAGAACAGGATCCGAGCCCCAGCTCCGACTAGCGCTCTCTTTGCATCGACCCGAACAATCATTCTTCCAGAAACATGGTCGTCACTGTGATTGTAACTCCTTCCATCAGATTCAACCTCGTCCAACTCTTCGATCTTCATGTCACCGATCGTAACAGAACCACAACACTAACTCCGATTCTGATCAAGACAACCGCGAAACCTCTAAAACCTAATGATTCGATAATTGGGGGTGGAATTTGAGTGGTTGAAAAACCCTAAATCGAATTGGGTGAAAAATACATTGATCGGAATCGGAAAAAGTGGATTCGAGTGTAAGGAGACGGAAGAATTGCATGCGGATGTGAGCTTAATCGTAATGAGGAGAGAGGAGGATAGAAAGTTGTAAGAGGAACATTTGTCTCCGTTGCAATTTTGTGAGAGAAATGTACCGTTGGGCGGCGGCGGTGGTTGATATATAGCCGTTGTTGGGTTGGGAGAGTACAAAACAATAACAATTAGGGCTTTAGGATGCTCTAGAGTGATCGCTAGGATGCTCGAGAGTGATTGCTAGAGACACGTGTCTCACTAATGGAACGAAAGGTGGAGATTAATCCTTGCCAAAATATATCGTTTTGGTGGGGGAAATTATAAAAAAAAAAACACAGTGAAGAAAAAAAAAATGTGAACAGAGTGAAAAAGAAGATTCAAACAGTATCATTATCATGAATTTTGATCTGTGAGATCTAAATAAATTAAAAAAAAAAGATTAAATCGATTTGATAATATAAAAAAAAAGATTAAATCGATTTGATAATAAAATTGTTTCAGAATTGTATCATCATTATCATCATCAAAAGATTGAAGAAAAAAATATGAACAGAATGAGAAAGAGACTTCAAACTGTATCATTATCATGGATTTTGATCTGTGAAATCTAAATAAATAAAAAAGAAGATTAAATCGATTCAATAATAAAATTGATTCAGATATGTATCATCATCATCATCAAAAGATTGAAGAAAACCCATGAAAAAAATGAGAAAGAGGCTTCAAAAGATTAAATCGATTCGTCGATAATAAGATTGATTCAAATTTGTATCATCATCATCATCATCAAAAGATTGATCTAGATATGTATTTCTATATGCATATATATATATATATATATTTACAGACCCTGCGAAGAAGATTAAATCGATTCGATAATAAAATTGATTCAGATCTTTATCATCTTCATCATAGAAAGATTGATTCAAATATGTATTTCTATATGCATATATGTATATTTACAGACCCCATAGTACGAGCACCAAAGATTGATTCAAATTTATATCATCATCATTATCATTAAAATCAAAGTGAGCAACAAAATCAGCAGATTCGATCAACGGACATGGAGATCGGCGAAGGAAATCGGTGACAAAAGGTCTTCAACAAGGGATGTTCCTCATCATCATCATCAAGGACTGTTGTTAAAAAAAAATCAGTGTATAGATCAATAACAAGAACCACTCACTATCCACTTGAATCAAAAGATTTCTAAAATGAAGTAGAGTCTCAACTCAAAATCAAAGCTCTGTCCCTTCTCTTGCTCTGGTCCCTTCTCTCTCTCTCTCAAATTCTCCCACGAACTAGTGAAAGCAAACCTAGAAAGTTGATTTCTGTTTTTTGTTGTTGTTGGTTTTTTTTTTTTTTTTTTCTAAATTACTAACCAAAACGACGTTGTTTTGGCTAGTTTTATTTTGAACCGTTGGATCACTCACTTCAGGGATCACTTCAAGGAATCCCACTTTAGAGGATCCTGATACACAATTAGGCGTCTTCCACATGTTCGTACTCGCTGGCAACTTAATGCTGACTACAACCCAATAAAATAAGGGAGAATTACGTAATTGTAGACTTTGAGAAAAGTTATTAACAATCACTGATTTTTTTTTAACAACAGTAAAGAGTACAAAAATTATACAAGAAAATGACATTTTTTGTATTGATTTCGGTTGCATGTGGGTTTACTTTTGGAATTGTGATTCTAATAAATAAGAATAATATTATATGTATTAATTAATGTACCAATTGATGATGTGACATAATTTAAGATATGTTTAGTATTTGTAATGTTATTAATGAGTGGAGGGTCAATAATAATATCATAACTAGTGTTGATATACTAGTTAGTACACTAATTAGTACATGTAACACTACTGAGTAAAAAAAAATTCAAAATTCTTTTCCAAATGTGTAACCAAACATACAAATCAAAATTTGATTCAAAATTCTTTTCAAAACTCACAACCAAATTCTTTTCAAAATTTTATTTAAAGAAAAATTTTAAAAGATATTTTTTTATTTTATTTTTTAAAATCATAATTTGAGTGTAGAGTCGTATTTTTAATTATGAATTTTGAGTTGAGTTTTGAAAAGAGAAAAATTTGTTTGGTTATGAATTTTGAAAAGAGTTTGAGTTGTATGTTTTTAATGTGCACTGTATTTCATACAATTGTGCACTGTATTTTTTTAAATATATAATTTTTATTTTTTTTATTTCAAATATTTTATTTTATTTAAAAAATATTTTTTTAATATTTTAATATTTTATAAATTTTTTTAAATATTTAATTTTTTTTAAATTTCAAAAAAATTCAATCGCCATATATAACTAAACCATAACAAATTATTTGGCCAATACTTTAAAAAATAACAAAAATTATTTTTCAAAAAAAAATAAAAAAAAATATTTTGATTAAAAAGTTTTTCAATTGAATTTTGAATTATGTGTTTGGTTATGAGTTTTAAAAATAGTTTTTGAATTGAGTTTTGAGTTATGTGTTTACTTCTGATTTGAGTGTGGAGTTATTTTTTGAATTTAAAATATTTACAAAAATGAAATAAAATATTTAAAATAAAAAATAAAATTTTCTTAAACGTTTTTAAATATTTAAAAGAAATAAATCAAAAAAAATTCAAAATACAACTCAAAATTCAAAAACTTAAAATTCAAAATACAACTTAAAACTCTTTTCCAAACTCAAAATTCTTTTCAAAACTCATAACTAAACAAATTTTTATTTTTTCAAAACTCAACTCATAACTCCACACTTAAAATCACAATTTCACATTTAAATTATAATTATAAAATTAAACTAAACGGATTTTACCCTTAACTCTTACACTCACTTATACACCTTGCACATACTCACACCTCTCTCTCTCTCATACAGAGATGAAATTAAAATTTTATTACTGCAGGTGTTAAAAGATAAACAATATTTTTTTACCGTATAGACAAATACACATATATGTACAGTATGATATATAAATTATATATATACACATAAAAAAAATTAATATCATATAAACAATCTCTAATAGAATGAATAAATTTTTTTTTAAAAAAATAATAGAGAATAAAAGATGAGAAAATAATGGAGTATATATCTAAGATGAGAAAATAATGGAGTATATATCTTTTATACTAAGATACTATTTTATTTATAAAATAATATATATATATATATATATTGCCGATCAAAAATATATATACATATATATATTTAGAAGTACTATGGCAAATAAAATTTTCACAGTGACAGAGAGGTCATGACCCCTCATAATCTTCTTCTAGTTATATCTATCACACATACACTCACCTCATTCTTTTAATAAAAAAAACAAAAATAAAATAAAATTTATCTTTATATTTTTAAATTTATTTTATTTTATTAAAATATATTTAATATTTAATATACAAATTCTATTTTTATAAAATTGATATTGTTCTAAAAATATATTTAAAATTTTAAAATGCAACTAATATTTCACATATTTAATAAAAATTTAAATTAATAATCTAAAATATATAAAAATTTATAGAATTAAAATAATTTGTATGATTTAAGTTAATATAAATAATAAAATTACTTTTCTAATCAGTATATATATAGATATATATTGGTAGGAGAAAACTTGGGAATTTTTTTTTAAGGTCCCTAATAATAGAAATTTAGAGGATAAAAGACACAAAAAAAAAAAAAAAAAAAAAAAAAAAAAATAGTCATGCATAAGGTCCCTGAACAACATGGCGTGCATTTTTAATTATTTTGTGGACCAAAATACCCTTCATAAAATCAACACAGAGACGAAACTGATTCCGACGACTGAGTTCCATTTCAAGCATCCAACCATCTTCACGAACAAGAGAACTGCAGAACTAGCGTTTCAATATCGTCTCCACCATCGACATTAGAGCTTCGTTATCTTCTGCAAAAATCATTCTCGTTCCTTCCTCACAAATTTCTCTGACCCCGTTTTCACTGTTCATCGTTATCTCAATTCATCTTCGTCATGTCGCATCTTCATCTCAGGACATATCAGCTCGTCATTAAAGTTTCATCCTAACTCTGGTAAGTTTTTCTACAATACAACTAGATTTTCTCTGGAAACACAGTTAATTGCATTTTATATTAACCTTTCATAAATTAGGGTTTCAATTTCGTAAATAAAAAGCTACTTGAATTTGAAAAAATTTATTTCTGTGTGTTTTGAACTTATTCTTGAACATGTTTGTGTGATTTTATCTGTAAATTTCTCTGGTATTTGAATTTTTCTGATTTTTGTTTGATATATGTTTCTTCTTTCAATTTTCTTTGGCATGTTTATTTTGAAAAAAACTATTTCTCTCTGTTTTCATCTTATCCTTGAACATGTTTCTATGATTTTGTCTATAAATTTTTCTGCTCTGTAAATTTCTCTGTAATATGTATTTTTAATTAGAATGTCTATCTTTCTCTGGAATGTCTATTACTCTTTTGTCTCTGTCTAAATTTCTCTGGTATTTATAATTTTCTCTAACCACATCACTTTCTTCCCTTGTGTGTCTCTATCATGTTTAATTTTCTCTGGTTGTGTATGTAAATTTCTCTGGCATTTTAATATTATAGACTGGAATCTATGTTTCTTCTTTGAACTTTCTTTGACATGTTTATTTTGAAAAAAAGTTATTTCTCTGTGTTTTGATCTTATTCTTGAACATGTTTATGTGATTTTGTCTATAAATTTCTCTGCTGAAATTTCTCTGGAATATGTATTTTTTTCTAGAATGTCTATTACTCTCTTGTCTGTGTCTAAGTTATAATTTTCTCGGCTACATCACTTTTCTCCCT